GGAGTATATTGCTCACAGGAAACTGCCTAAAAAAAAGACACTAGCCAAAAAAACAAAACAATGAAGCAGAAAATGCAGATCAGGTCAAGAGAAATGGCGGCAACTTTCGTGTATACCGATAAGATCTCACAGGGGCACAGAAAACAATGGATGTGCTGTTGTTGACTGGGCCCCAACAGAAATGCCCATTTGGATTAGGTGCTTCCTCACGTCTACTGCATTCTGAACTGTTTCTCTCTAATTATCCAGTAAGTTACAAGGAACAGTGCATTAATTATCTCCAGCTAGATTTGTTAGTATCTCCAACTACGCCTGTGGATTTGCCCACTTCTCCCTTAAATTCTGTCAGGTTTTGCTGTGATAGTTATACACACGCCTATTGAGGATTATTTATCATTTGTGCTCTCTCTCTCTTTCTTTTCTCCTAGCAATACCCCTGTCTTCAAGTTTACTTTGCCCTTTATTATTATAGGGTCTCCTCCTTTCCCACATTGCTTGTTTTCTAGGTGCATTTTTCTTACATTATATTTTAAGACTATTTGTGCTTATGTGTTTTGTTTCTCTTGTAAAATAGAATTGACTTTAAAAAAAAAAACCCAACCTGATAATCTCCATCTTGACTAGATTGCTCAGTCTATTTGTATTTAATGCTATTGATATGGCTGTATTTACATTTTACAGATTGTTTACTATTTTCCTCTTTTGTCTCAATGTTTTCCCTCCTTTCCTTCATTCTTTTTTAGTCAAATAAGTTTCTTTATGATTTAATTTATTCCTTCTATTGGCTTCTTGGCTATATTTCTTTGGATTATGTTTAGTAGTTTCTCTAGGAATTACAACATACATCTTCATCACAATAGACTTAGAACTGTTATTCAGATACTTAAGATAAAATGGGAAACTTCTGTCCAGTATATTTTTATGTAACACTCCCAGACTTAGCACTTATTGTCACATTTCCTATATACCCATATACATTGTAAACTGAACAAACAAAAAAAACTATTACAATTTTTGCTTTAAATAATCATATGTATCTTCTAATGAGATAGATAAAACATGGATGGCTTCAGTTAGACAGTGCTCGACTTTGTATATTGAAGAAGATTCAGGGGACCTCAGGTGACAAAGTATATGGATGAAGTTTTTTGCAGGAAAAGGACACAACAGAGCAACTGCCCTGCAGTAAGGTGCTCAGCCTTCTTTACGGCTCAACCCCCACATTTGCACCTGACCCTGGAAAAACCACAGCTTCGACTACACGGACCTTTGTTGGCAAAGTGATGTCTCTGCTTCTAGCTTTGTCATAGCTTTTCTTCCAAGGAGCACACGTCTTTTAATTTCATGGCTTATAGTCACCATCCACAGTGATTTAGGAACCCAAGAAAATAAAATCTATCACTACTTCCAATGTTTTCCCTTATTTGCCATGAAGTGATAGGACCAGATTCCATGATCCTAATTTTTTGAATGTTGAGCTTTAAGCCAGATTGCCACTCTCCCGTTTCACCCGCATCAGGACGCTCTTTAGTTCCTCTTTGCTTTCTGCCATTAGAGTGGCATCATCTGCATATCTGAGGTTGTCAATATTTTTTCTGGCACTCTGGGTTCCAGTTTGTGATATATCAGACTTGTATATACTGTTTCCTAATCTGTCTTACTTTATTCTATTAACCTACTTTATTTTCATCAAAGCATTTATGATCTGAAATTATCTTGAACTCACTAGAAGGTAAACTCTGAGATGAGACACTTTGCTTGTCTGTTCAGTGCTTAGAAAATCCTTGACACAAAAGCAGATATTGAATGAATATAAATTACGAAAGAAGAGTATTTTTATTCAACTTTATACACGTGGTTTAGTGGATGAAGGATACACCATTATAAGGAATTATAAATTTACTCAACTACTGAACTGATGTTTTACATTTAATTTTGTTTTCAAAGTTGTCACTATTAGAAGCAAGCCCTCTCATTCTTGTAGCTAATCTTGACACAAATCTTTTGTTATTGCCTTGATTTAAATTTCTAGACAAGAGATTGATGGATCAAAGGGTATGCATAATTTAAGTGTTTTTGTATACTTTGTCCAGTTCAGATATATAACCTTTATTTCTCTTCTATTAGTTTTTCCTGACATATCTTGAACTTTAACAAACATTATGTATTCCCATTTATTGCTACCAGTTTGAAAGATGGAAAATGGCTTCCCAGTCTGTTTATATTTGCATTTATTAGACAATTAACAAGTTTAGACTTCAGTACAGTGATTTATGAATTACTTGTTTATATCTTTTGCCAGTTTTAATGGGGATATGGTCTTTTTCTTGGATGTTTTCAAATAATAAAAGCATTAATCATTTGCCTGTTATGTTATATTCTTCCCAGTTTGTAATTTGCCTTTTATACTGTTGATTTTCTCATGATAATCAAACTTGTTTTTTTCATTTTCTAATCCATCAGTAGAAATCTCAAATAATATTTTTATGAAGTCTTCCTTTCATCATTTCAGTTTTTATTGTGTTTCTTGTATAATCTTTTGAGTTGACTTTCTTTCGAAAATGTACTTAATATATGGATTTCTGCACAATATTTCAGAAAAGATCACTCATGGTATATAACTATGAACAAAGTAAGATGTTGACTGAACAGTATAGTCCGTTGGCACTGCAGTTTAAATCTAATGTGGGCAGAGCTGATTTATAGATCAGATCAACTCAGAAGCAGGCATCTACTGACTGTCAGATGGGCCTTGTCCCTGACCATTTTCTTTAGCTCCCGTGAAATTACATGTTCTTTTCCCTCTGCAGGCACCTCAGCAAGCAGTATATTCTGCAAAGAAGTATGAAGAGGGAAGGCAGGGACACAGTGGAAAGGCAGCCGTGTCCACTGGCGTCTGACCCTATCTGAGGTGTGTGAAGGGGCAGAGGGTAGGGGCCCACGTGCTCCAAGGACAGGCCTGCGTGGGTGCGTAGAATGCCCCTGACCATAGTGGGGCAACACGTTTGTTAGCACTTCCTGCTCACGAGGTGAGAACTGAGTCAGAGAGAATTTCCCTTCCATGAGCCTTAGGCCTTGCCCAGGTGAGATGCTGGACGTGGAAACACAATCCCCATTGATGGGGAAGAAAACAGTCAGAGATGCAAGTCAGAGATGTCTGAGTGAAGGACCCTGAAGGTGAGTGCTTCATCACCTGGGGAGGAAGGTGGTAAAAAAAATTCAGTAGTTGATCATGTGTCATACGTACACAGAGGTACCCTGGAATAATAACCAAGTTCCTGGTTTTCTCAGGATGGTACCAGTGAAAGTAAAATATCTCCTGCCCATTTACCAAGAATCAGAAAAGAGAAGTGAATTGGGTGGGGAAGGTCAAATCTTCCCTTCCTTACCAGCACAACTAGTGCATCAGGAAAGCCCACACTAAGAGATTAATTTCTGTTTAACTGGGAATGTTTTTCTATTTCTTACTAAAATTAGATATTTTAAGTATGGAAACTTATGGAACCGAGACGATTTATGGAAGAATAAAAAAGACTGGAAAAACTTTCTATCACTCAAAAAGTGAACTGAAAGTGATTTCCGCCCCCCCCCCACCCCCACTGGCCTAAATCTCATTCATGTGTAGGAGAAAAACATTTCCCACATAATGGGCTTGCAGTCTCAGTAAGTAGAAAAAAACAATTGTTTTCTGATCCACTGGAGATCTTGTTTCTGCAACATAATGAATACAATTATAACCATGAACTCAAATCAAAACAGTACATTTCAGAAAGAAAAATTTTAAAGCTGGCCAAAATTGCAAGGAAGTTGATCGCAGTTTGAGGTTGTGTCAGTGTATGGATAATTGAACCTCTTGATGAGGGTCAAAGAGTGTGAAAAAACTGGCTTAAAACTCAACATTCAAAAACGAAGATCATGGTATCTGGTCCCATCACTTCATGGTAAATAAATAGGGAAACAATGGAAACAGTGACAGACTTTATTTCTTGGGCTACAAAATCACTGCAGATGGTAACTGCAGTGGTGAAATGAAAAAACACTTGCTCCTTGGAAGAAAAGCTATGACCAACCTAGACAGCATATTAAAAAGCAGAGATATTACCTTGCCAACAAAGGTCCATCTAGTCAAAGCTATGATTTTTCCAGTGGTCATGTATGGATGTAAGAGTTGGACCGTAAAGAAAGCTGAGCGCCAAAGAATTCATGCTTTTGAACTGTGGTGTTGGAGAAGACTCTTGAGAGTCCCTTGGACTGCAAGGAGATCAAACCAGTCCATCTTGAAGGAAATCAGTCTTGAATATTCAATGGAAGGACTGATGCTAAAGTTGAAGCTCCAATACTTTGGCCACATGATGGGAAGAACTGACTCGTTGGAAAAGACCCTGATGCTGGGAAAGACTGAAGGCAGGAGGAGAAGGGGACGACAGAGGATGAGATGGTTGGATGGCATCACTGACTCGATGGACATGAGTTTGAGCAAATTTCAGGAGCTGGTGATGGACAGGGAAGTCTATTGGGGTCGCAAAGAGTCTGACATGATTTAACAGCTGAACAATAGCAACAATACAATTATTATTTGTGTAACTCTCTGTTTGAAATAAGACACACTTTAAAGAAAAAAATAAGAGGGGAGGGCCTGGTTTGCCAGCCTTAGCTGAAAATGAGTTTATGAAATTTCCCCTTGGAAAGAGCATCAGAATCTTAACCGACCACAAGGAAATGTGCCTGGTGAAAGCTGACAGCTCCAGGCTCCCTGTGAACGAGACGGTCACTGAGATCAGCCGCTGCTGATATCCCTGCTCTCGGATGGTCATTCCCGATGCCTGGAGTTATCCACGTGTCTCGCAACAGTTTTATACTTGAAAGTGGGTTCTGTCCCAAGGAGTGAAGTATACTATAGAGTCTCCATTGTTACAGGCATCGTTTCCCAAACCATCCCTGCTTCATCGTCGACACGAAACTGCAGGAGAACCTGCAGCAGAACCTGCAGCAGAGGTGAGCTGCCTCCTGACCCAGCTGGGGGGCTCCTGCTTTTTCGCCTTTCCTCTCCGGGCCCATCAGCCCTCATTAAGCGAAGCAGCTGTCCAGCCGGCTGGAGCCTGGTCTACAGCCAAGCAGCCTTGCCCCGGAGATACAGAAGGAAAGAGAAAAAGTGGAGAGAAACCCGAGAGGAAGATGCTGGAATTCGGCTCAGTCTGTCCCTCACTGCTGACGCTGAGCAGAAGGCGCCTTTGATGGGGGAGCTAAGAGCACCCCAGGAAAGGAGGGGCCTGGGATTAGTGGGAGAGAACATTCCTGAAGTAAAGGCACAACTTCAAACCAGCTTCATCTGGATGCCGCCTCGGAGGCCCAGGGGCTGGCTGTACCACCCACCGTGGATTTGCATAGAGGCAGCAAGTCTGGATTCCTATGTTTACTGATGTTTAAATATTGCTAATTGAAATGACTGTGTGGTCTAACGCATGTGGGCCACCCGAAACACACCCACAGGCCTGGTCTGACTGTGGATAGCAGGTTTGTGATCTCAGAATGCTGAGACTTCTTTCAGTGGATCCAAGAAAGCCCGAATTTAGCTTGTGAGAAGTGTGTGTGGTGTAAAAATACGATGTATGAATATATAAGATGTATAAACAGCATAGGTTCCAGTTGATGTCTACAAAATTATTCCTTTTTTTAAAATCTTTTATTGGAGGATAATTGCCTTACAATGCTATGTTGGTTTCTGCTGTACAAAAATGTGAATCCTAATTATATATATTCTTCTCTCTTGAGCCTCCCTCTTCCTTCCACCCTCACCCCTCTAGGTATCCATGGAGCACCAGGTAATTCTTAAAGTATAGCCTTTGGGCCCACCAAAGTTCCTGAGATTTTCCACGGTGCATTCATTTCTATTTCTGAATGTTATATCCATGTGGAACAAATTGCCACTAATTTATAGGCTTGAAACAGTACACCTTTATTGTCTCACAACTTCCCTGTGTCGGGAGTCCAGACACGTGGCTGGATCCTCTTCGGGTCTCACAGTGCCAGCATGAGCAAGGCATCTGCAGAGTGACGTCTCTTCCTCGCGGTCCTAGTGGAAATTGACTTCGGGCCTGTTTATATGGTTGGTAGAGTCGAGTTCCATGCAGCTTTAGGACTGAAGTCTCATTCTTTGCTGGAATCATTCTCAGCTTCTAGGTGATGTCTGTGCTCTTGGGCACATAACCCCTCTATCCTCAAGCCGGTAACAGTGGGTCAAAGCCTTCTTTAATTCTAAGCTCTCTAACCTCCACTCTCCTGTTCTGCCAGAGGAAACTGTGAATTTCAGGGCCCCTGTGATTAGACGAGCTGCACTGAGATAATGATTTCCTAAAGGAAATCAGTCCTGAATATTCATTGGAAGGACTGATGCTGAAACTGAAGCTCCAGTACTTTGGTCACCTGATGCAAAGAGCTGACTCATTGCCGGGAGCCGGCACACGAGATCCCACCCATGACAAGGTCATGAGGAGAAAACCTGACAGGCAAGGCGGATCAGGTTTTCAGGGATTCCGAAAAGCTGCCCCCGGCGCTCACCTTAAAGATGGTATCTGTCTTTCTGATGCTTGCTTCAATAGACTACTCCCTAATTTCTGTGACACAGGCAGAAGGCCTTCCCCAATCTCTTTCCAAATAAGAATCAATTTAGAACTTTAATCAATAAGTTTCCCGGGTGGTGGTATTTTATGAGATTATCCAGGGTGAAAGGAATGTTTTAATTTAAACTCCTTTGCTGGTAGTTTTGTTAGCCAAATGCATTTATGCCCTTCGTACTAATATGCATGATTGCTTATAGTACCCTAATCATAAAATAACATAAAGAACCTGATCATATAAAGGCCCTAATAGACATAGAGCCCTTCGGGGGGTGAGGAAGCCCTATTAGAAAACACAAGAAAAATTATTCTAAAAGTAGCTATTGGGTTAACATTCGCTTGCTGTGTTTTTGCTCTTAATGTGCTAAGGTTGTGTTATAGAAACCATTGTTAATATAGTTATAGATCTAGAAAAATAAGAGCTTAGCCCTAGTGTGGTAACAATGAGATGGTTGCTAATTGTCAGCCAGGAGTGCTAGGCAGAGGCTGCCTCACTGAAGCCGCGGAGTCTGTGTGGGGTAAACTTCTTAGATAAACGCAACTGACAACTTCTGCAGAAGGATTAATTTTTGTGTTAACAAGGTTATACTTCTAGTGTGTACTGTTGCCCTATGAGACTGCTACCTTTCAGTTAAGGTCACCATAGAAACAGAAAATAGGTTTACATTCACCTGACCTGCATAAAATGTTAATAAGCTCCAAGGCCAGAAGATAATGTACAAGACCCTCATAAACAAAGAAGTATGCAGAAAACACCCTGGTTTCGTGACGGACAAGCTGACGTAATGTTAAACTATCTTCCCCTTAGAGATGTACTAACTTAGGGTATAAAAGCTACAGTAAAAAATAAAGCATTGCCAGACTCTGCCAGACCCTGCTGCACCCCCCGTCTGGTCACTCTCTCTCTCTTTCTCTCTCTCTCCCTCGCAGACTTGGCCCAATCAAGGCTGGTCTCACATGTCTTCTCTCTCTCTCTCACCAACGCCTTTCATCCTGAGGGTACCCCCTGGATCCTGCCGAGGCTGGACCCCGGCACTCATTGGGAAAGACCCTGATGCTAAGAAAGATTGAAGGCAGGAGGAGAAGGGGACAACAGAGGATGAGATGGTTGGATGGCATCACCAACTCGATGGACATGGGTTTGGGTGGACTCCGGGAGTTGGTGATGGACAGGGAGGCCTGGCGTGCTGCAGTGCATGGAGTCGCAAAGAGTCAGACATGACTGAGCGACTGAACTGAACTAAACTGAACTGAATGGTAGATTAATGCCACTCCTCTAACTGCATTTTTTATTTGCAAAAATAAGATATGTTAAATGACAATGATTTAATCATGCTCATTTTAAATAGATTAATAAATATATTTTAATTTTTCCTTTAATTTCTAGCACAGTACATATTGACAAATTTAACCCACATTAACAGAAACTTCTTGACGCTCTCAATAAATTTTGTGTAACAGAGTGATAAGGCTGAAATGTTTGAAAAGAATAATAATAACATCATGATTCTCAAGCTAGCTGAAGACATTAAAAGTTTTTCTCTCTTCCAAGACTTTGTCTTTATTTTGGTGGCACTGTGTGATATGTGGAATGTTATTTCCCCAATCAGAGATTAACCCATGCCTCTGCATTAGAAGCACAGTCTTCACCACTGGACCACCAAGGAAATCTCCAGGACTTTTCCTTAACTAATGCTCCTCTTTTTTTTTTTCCCCCCAAATGACCAACTATTTTATGTTAGTCAAGACAATAAAAAAAAAAAAAGACAACTTTTACTTCTTCTCTTGCAGAAAGCCTCTTAAGACTTACCTTCTCCCACACTGTAAAAGGCATTTCTCTTACCTGGTTCTGTATCTCACTATACATTAAAGAACAGTACTTGCAGTGTTTATTGCTGTTCTTGACTGTCTACTCCATGGGATGGAAAGATGCCACTGCCGCATTTTCCTTAGGGACAGGATTTTAGACATTTTCTATCATTACATCATCAATACCAGCTTAGTCCTTGCATATGGACTTTGCTTATCCTCATCTTCTGTTTCATCTTCCTTTTCTTATTTTATTATCTCACCACAGAGCATCAGGAGCTAAGATTCTAGAAGGACAATTTAAATCCCTTCGTAAACAAATTATTCTCACCAAATTTGTTGCTGTGACATTGAGTGTTTACTGTATCGATGACTACCCAGAAGCTGACACCTCAAAGAACTTGCCCTTCACTGAATGCTCTACCAAATGTCTCCCCTGACAGCGCGCCCACAGCTATTTAACAGAGCAGGCAGACGCTCTGCGGAGCACAGTGGTGGCCTCAGCTGTGAGACCTGTCATTTCTTAAGGTTCTGCTTCTTAGAGGGCCCCCTCTCTTGCCCAGAATGAACCATTCCCTCTCAAGTTGCTGCCTGGCACACGGATCCATGCCTGCTGCCACAGCGCTGTCTGAAGACTTGATTCCATTTGTCACTGCGCCAGCTTTCAATTCCTGCTTCCTGGGGTGACCCTCCTTCCTCTGAGATATTCAGGAGTTGCTCAAGTGTCATGTCAATCATCCTGTAGACGTGCCTCTATCACGATGCTTAGTTTCATTGCTTTAGGACCTCGCCATTATTCATCTCTTGTTGCTGTGTGCTATTAAACTTTATGCGTAAGTGACCTGAGAGAACTTCTTTAGAAACTGAAGGTCACATCCAGACATATTCAAGTCTTGTAGTAAAACAAACAAACAAGAAAAGAGTTAAAAGGAGTATTTGCCTTTAGAAACTGGAACTTGATAGTTCTTCTAAGCCTGGTTTCTCAAGAATGTTAAATATTGGAGTTTCCTTGATATATGTCTTTCATTCCTTTGGTCATTGGTTAAATGCCTGAAAGAAAAAAATAAAAACTGTTTTAAAACCACATTATCAAAGTACTTTAGCACGGAGAAAATTATGTCATTGACTCCAACCTCCCGCTCACACTGAGAAAGAGAGAGAGAGAGGGAGAGAAATTGTAGCCTGGAAAATATGAACCCAACAGTGTCAAGACTTTCTATGAGATAATTTGATTTCTGACATGCAATCTCAATGAAAATTTTCAAATTTTTACATTGTTCAAAAAATATAACTCTGATATGTTTCAAAATTTGCATGGCAAATTTCAAGAGTTTTATGGGGATATTTATAGTGTTTCTTTCCAGAACACTTTTATATTTCCTCTTGGATATTTGGACATATATTAAAATATTCTGAGTAACATTCCCTTGTTTAATTTAGTCTGTACTGATGTGGGACTGTATGCATACATGATAAGTAGCTTAGTTGAAATTTGAAGGTTAAGTTTATTCTCCTCTATCTAACAAGTAATTCCTGGAGGAGGAAATGGCAACCCACGCCACTGTTCTTGCCTGGAGAATCCCCTGGACAGAAGAGCCTGGCGGGATACAGGCCATGGGGTCACAAAGAGTCAGACACAACAGAAGCAGCTTAGTACGCACATGACAAGTCATTTATTATTTAACCAGACTCACTGTTTTCACAGGTAAAGTTGAGCTACAAATAGCATAACCCCTCTCATTAATGTTGGCATTGCCATCTAAAAAATATTAACCTATCAGAAACTCCCCTGATGGCCCAGTGATCAAGAATGCACCTTGCAATGGAGTGGACATGGGCTTAGTCCCTGGTCAGGGAATTGGGAGCCCATTTGTTGAGGAGCAGCTAAGCCCTGGCCACAGCTGTTGAGCCCTCGTATTTGTGCTCTGCCCCGGTGAAAGACCCCATGTGCCGCGGCTAGATGATCGGTGCTCTGCCCCGGTGAGAGACCCCAC